AAGACGTTAAAACATGGTACTTGTTGTTACCCTGTCTGGCGCTCGGCAAGAAGGTGCTAAAACAAGGGCTGGTCGGCTCGAAGTCAGTATACTGTGTCTAAGTGGGCTATTCATGTTAAACTGCGACATGGTATCTCAATGTGCTAGCACTATAAATTGGCATCATTCCAGACTAGTACAAGCAGCCACACAAACACACACGTGTACATACACGTCGCTATATAAGTGCAATAATCTTGGACGCGACGATAACCACCATTTCATCTCACCTCAGACAACAAGAGAACTATACTTTTGAAACAGTCAACCAGTGCACTAACAAGTTGCCACTAAGCATTTAGCCAGTGCTTGTGCTAGTTTATTCAGTCTCTTCCCCCGGCATTCGCCCTTGCCCTAAAACTACCTCATGACATGATGTGTTTATTACTATTGGTTTGAATACTTCTTGAAATATTGTGGACATGTTTCAATATTACTGATGTAATTTAATAACCTTACAAGTTACATCTGTTTTCATTACTGTCTCGCAAATAAACATTTATGGTACTTGAGATTTATTTTACACGTCAGATTTGTTTGTTTTGCATCATAGATCTTCAAATGCATAATAAAATAAATTGATGAAAGCAAATCATATTATATTTTTTCTAAACTTTATTTCAAGTGTTCATATAAAATAGGGTGGTGGGGTAACCTTGATCGTCACGCTGAACTTCAACGGCTGAAGACCCAAGTTCGATTCCCCACATGGGTACAATGTGTGAAGCCCATCTGTGGTGTCCTCCGCTGTTATATCGCTGGAATATTGTTAAAAGCGGCGTAAAACCCTACTCACTCACTCATATAAAAAGAATATTGCACATTTCATAAATCTGAACTTATTGAAGATGCAAAACATTCTTAAATTCTTCTGAAACTATTTCAGATGATTGCTGAAGGGAACAACACTGAATAATTAATATTATGATTCACCCATTCCTTGATTGTGGGGTTTTAAGGTAATTCCTTTGGGACATATACATCTAGCTTTTTCAGCATTACTTTCATAAAGAATTTAATCAAAGATTTCAGGGCATAGTTTCATATGAAATTTGAGCTCTGGAGCTCATCTCTTACTGGTCCACTGGCCTGAACAACTCATTGCATTAGGCCTATATACTGTATTTTGTTATGAAATTGGATTTTTACCACATGATATAAGGTATGTTAACATTTAGAACACATCGAACCCAAGTTATGGGGTTGATCTGCATGGGATTATTTCCAGTCAGTAAGGACAAAGTTTTAGGGGGTGGCTGTTACAGATGATTTGCCTAAAACATCAGGTCAGGAGGTCTAAATTTCCAAACAAACATTTAACAATTTCAAACATTTATTATTAATTTTCAACAAGTTTTAAATATAGTTATATTGAAAGTGACAGTAAATGAGCTTTTTGTAAACATATTACATATATCTGGTCCACTCAATTAAATAACCCACTATTTTAAATAATTAATTATGTATAAAACCTTTCATATTTCTTTTAGTTTGTATTTTTTTTAAATCTTGCCTCATAATGGATGATAAATAGTTTCCCTGCAAAGTTGCAATGCATTTTCTATGAATGGTTATCAGAACAATCCAAAAACCAATTATCTATTAAATATATATAGATCTATGCCTACTGCAGTAACTGGTTTCAAACACTTAAACACATCAATGAAAGTGATCTATCTATTCACTTTCAAATGGGGACGGTTTTGCTCGGCTGGTGCTGATGTGACATACAGAATTTAGTTACTTATCCATAAAATATAGCAGTTATTGCGAATTCGAATGGGGAAAAAATCAAAGAGAATCTTTTTTCCCAGCACGTTTCCACTCAGCAACCGACTTTAGAAACGTTCGTGTTACTCAAAGCATATGCTCTCGTAATCAGCTGGTAATGTGTAATCTTGTTGAGACAACGTTTGGCGACAGATCGTAATTGTTTCTTGATATTGCCAAGTAGCACTGATGTAGCGTATAGGTGGTGAGAATAGTTATACCTAATACAGACAAACTCAGATTGACGACAATGCCGATACCGGCGATAGGGTCGTAACAGGGTGGGACAGGACGAATGGGCTAACTGACGAAGCATGCGGGTCACCAGGCGTGACAAAAATCTCTTAGAATATTACGTTTCCGCTTCTGAAAATGTAATAATGAGCATATAGGTAACTTAGGTATACACACATCAAAGTGTTATTCTTGCCACGATGCCACTGGTAGGCCAAATTGAGTCGGGGTCGGGTGACACATCAGGTGATGTGGATCTTCTCTATTTCTGTTGGTTCAGAATCGTATGGTTTTGCGATTTCTTGATGGGTCAAGGGATCTTCTTCGGACCAGGCAATATATCGGACATTTATATATGACATTTTCACACTTACCGTGAGCTTCCAACTTTCACTGTGAGAAAAATGACAGTATGTTTTAAAACACTGATACTAACTAATCTAAAATTGCGTTTTGTTTAAAATGAGAAAGTGATTTTTGCGTGTACACTTCCCCTTAAAGGGCAAGTTCACACGGAAATGAACCTATTTTTCTTGTACTTTTTCCACATTAAAAGTGTTAACCTAGAAGTGTCATAGACAAAAATATAAAAATATCACTAATAATTGACATATTTTTTGCATTAAAATGATTTATATTTTTCACATTTACCAAGTGTTCTATTTCCATAACAAAAACACCATGGCTTATGCCCCTTACAATATGACGTCATTGGTGCCAATTGATAAACATTATGACGTCATCATGCTTTGTTAGAGCCGCTTCACGTGGTGTAGGTCTAGGTGTGTGATTCTAGCGTCTCAGATGCCAGCCAGCATAGTGTTGTGCTGAGTCACCACTGCGCCGGAGTGTGTCGTAGGCCATGTTGTTTTACCGCAAACTGGTACTTGATATCTTTTGCGTTGAGCATAGACAGGGACCCAGTTGAATTGGCACAAATTACGTCATAATCTAAGGGGGATAACTCAGGCCTGTTTAGCTCGAAAAACGAAGGCCTCATAACGGCATATCATTTTCACACTATTGTGAGCTTCCTACTTTCACTGTGAAAAAAATGAGCGTATATTTTCAAACACAGATACTGATTAATTCTAAAATTGCGTTTTGTTTAGAAAAAGAAAGAAAGTGATTTTTGCGTGTACACTTCCCCTTTAAAGGGGAAGTGTACACACAAAAATCACTTTCTATCTTTAAGTGAATATATGCCTCAGCCATCGATACTTGTCCACAGTTCAGAACTACAAATATAACACCTGGATCCAGAAATGATATACCATCTCGTGTGGCTGCCATGTCACTTCACAGGCTCTCCTGCCATGCAATGTTATCTTGGATCAGCATGTAAATGGTAACCAGTGTCATTTCCACATTTCTTCATTTCTACCTCACATCACTGCATAAATCTGAATAAAACCGATCACAACCCCACAGCCAGTCATGTTCACACTTGGCGACTATAGCAGCAGCAACACGTACATGTATTATCAGCCAACTCAACCAGCCTGAACACCCGAATTTCACTGGAATACGGAGACCTATTCTTCCCCGAAATCCCTACTGGGGTCAAGCCAGCATTAACATTCCATTTATCATACACTTGCTCTAAATCCGTAATATTTACGCTAACCTAATATATATTACTCTATGATCACGTCAACACGTGACGTCATCCAATGTGAAGACGTCTGGCAGTCTAAAGTTACGTCATTGCCTCTGCAAGGATAGCTCAAATACAAGTATATATACTAAACTTTGATAAATAGGCTAAAAGACGCTCTTGCCTGGGGAAGATGATTGTTACAAAGCGATTTCCAAATTGACACACAATGGTTAACAAAGGAATCGATAGGTACAGAACTACATGCAAAATCTGTAAATGACCACAACCAAAGAATGATCAATAAATACTTCGAAATACACAGATATGGGATTACAATAAAAAAAAATATGGGCCAAATAAATGGCATGCCGGCAGCAGCAAAAAGCGGCAGGCCCAATAATTTACGTAAGTGCATTTACGAATATCCCGAAATGTGTATGTCCAATGTCTTGAAATAGGCTCTTCTCCGTTCTTAAATCCAGAATGTTTAGTGCTGGAGTGAGTGAGTATGGTTTTACTCTGCTTTTAGCAATATTCCAGCAATATCACGGCGGGGGATAGCAGAAATGGCCTTCACACATTGTACCCATGTCGGGAATCAAACGCGAGTCTTCCACGTCTTCTTTTATTTGTTTGTCGCGTATATTTGTTTTTTAACACCGCACTCGGCAATATTGCAGCTTTTTGACGGCGGTCTGTAAATAATCGAGTCTGGACCAGACAATCCAGTAGTTAATATCATGAGCATCGACCCACGCAATTGGGATCGATGACACGCATCAAACAAGTAAGCGAGCCTGATCAGCCTTATCACCCCATCCCTTAGTTACCTCTTACGACAAGCAAAGTCGCCTGTTATGGCAAGCATGGGTTGCTGAAGGTCTTTTCTACCCCGGATCTTCACGGTCTCGGATTGACCACTAGGCTACCCAACTGCCTGTTTAGAGTTGGAAGCTGGCATGACAATTCAGTGATTACTGATTTTCGGTGTTCCAATTTTATACAATTTTCACCACTACTTTGATTTTACCCACAATGGAATTTGTTTCGGCAGATCATTGAGAATGATTATTCTCTGACGATGATGTTTTATATTTGCTCAGACCTTAATTGATATGTTTCATCATTGCTGTAAAACATCACTTTCAAATTCAACAGAAAATGAAACAAATGCTGTTTTTGATTGAAAGTATGCCTCTTTCAAATCCCTTGTGAGACACTTTTCTCTGTGGTTAAAAAAGTTCCCAAAGAGGTGACAAAATGGATGGGCTGTTCAGGCTCTGGACTTTTCTGGGCATATCAAACTATCTCCTCACAATAAAACATTCATTTCAACATGACAAAATGCACTTAATACTGCGTCTTCACTTTTTATTAAGGTCCATACATACTTGACATAAAAAGTAAATTTTTCATTGACATATATGACTTCATTGGAGTCCAGAGTGACAGTATCTCTGTGTCAAACATCATCTATATTTTCAAATAACTGTTTTTAGCTGTGGTAGTCAGTTCTGTACACCTAAAGATTCAGAAAGCCTCACCTACAACCACTTTGTGGGACTTGGCACAGGGGAATCATTTATTGTAATAGATCATTCTGGAACAAATGGTTGGGATTGTCACACCAATGTTACTTGGTGTGTGAGTATGGTTTTAAGCCAAGTGTAGCAATATTCCAGCTCTATCATGACAGGGCACACCAGAAATGGGCTTCACACATTGAACCCATGTGGGCAACAAACCAAGGCTCATGGCGTGAAGAGCAAATGCTTTAACCAATAGGCTACCCCACGGCCCCTGATGTTACTTAGAGTTTTACTGGCACGAACAGACCTGTCACAACAAGGAGTCCTTCCTGGTGTTTTTGCTATTAGGTAGAACTAAAATACAAAAGTACAAAAAATTCACAACTGATCCAAATTTGATCATTTGCGAACAAGTGTATCTGATAGCTCATATGATATACGTATATCTCATTCACGGACTGCAATGAGTGAGAACTTGTTACAAGAAAGAGACACATTCTCTCAATGCGCTTCCCCTTAAATAAAAACTGAGGGGTTGCTGTTGACACTGCAAGAATCATTTTGTTCATCAGTGGATAAGTGAATAATTGAATATGTCAACATCCAGTTGACACATCTCTTTCCCACACGCCCCCACACACCCCTACCTGACCCCCATACAACCAGGCATCTCAACTCAGCTCAAGCAGCCAATGATACATAAGATAGAATCTTCCAGTCTTGTGTGTTGGAGCCACGGAGGGTAGACAACTTTGGGATGTCACAGGGCCCAGTTCCTCTGGTTTTTTTTTTAATTATGGCAATCTCAGAACTGTCCATTTTGCACTGATGTTCTCTGGAAGATTCCAACTGTGTCAAGAACAAAAGATCTGAAAAAAAACAATGCTCAGGTATACATTTAGGCTCGTCTTGGTCCACAACATGCTTGTATAGATATTAACAAATGCTAGTTTTCATTCATGTGAAAATATCTGAAAACTTTCACAGCATTTTCTAAAATATTTTCCAGATGCAGGGTCTTCAGCATATAATGTCCTTTAAATTGCAAAAATAATCTGAAAGTCTTTTCATTTAACTTTTTTTCTGCCTCAGTAAAGCAAGAAAGTAGAAAGTCGAAGCTAGGATGGCTCAGTTGAACTCGTGACTACCAGCACCTCACCTTGCCCGCTCGGCCATCTCCGTTCCGCTCCAGCGGGGGCTGTAAGGGTAGTCGTTATAGGACTCCGTGTACGGCTTGCCCTTGTGTTCATGGTATATAGACTGAAATGTGAACACTGGCTGCTCTTTGGGGAAGAAAAGTGGCATCTCGACTGAAATACAAACAAGCAGCTTGTTACCATGCTGCACATGGATATTCTCATATCTTCCTTGTTTCATACATAATACGTACCGTATCCAACGTAATAAGCGCCAAGGCCGCTCTCAAAAATGGAAAAAGTTGAAAGATCATTAATGTTGCGGTTCATGCTGACAGCCTCATATGATACAAAAGAAACGTCTGTGTGTATTATACACGACAGATATATTTTCCAGAATATAAATGCCCATACTTAATGGTGCATTTAACACATGAGTGCGTATTATGTACGAATAAATAACTTGTGTACACTTATCAATCGGAAGGGGTGCTTACTGGGATTGTTTACTAGCCAATATATTAGCAAATATCGCTGTAGGTGTTTTTTAGAGTGGGGTTCTTATTACGTCAAATAGGGTATATACATGTAGATCATTGCCATGGTAAATCATGACTTTATCAATGGAATGTTGCAGAAATTAGATAATAACTAAGAGAAATACCACTCGCTACATTATAATCACTAAAAGTTTGATTTAACAAGGACTCCTTGAATTTAGTGCTTAATTTCAAATGCTGCTATGAGTGAGTGACTGAGTATTGTTTTACGCCGCTTTAAGCAATATGCCAGCAATATCAGGGTGAGGGACACCAGAAATGGGCTTCACACATTGTACCCATGTCGGGAATCGAACCAGGATCTTTGGTGTGACGAGCGAACGCTTTAACCACTAGGCTATCTGACCGCCCAAATGCTGCTATGCAACAGAATGCACAGGGAGTCCTTCATACACTTTATGAGAGAGGGCTCCTGGCATCCTTGAGACTTACTTCTACAGATTGGGAATCTTGGGACCCCTCATTCCTCAATACTAAACATCATGGTTGATTTTCATGCTGAAATTCCAATACTGCCTATACAGACAACGGATATCTCTTATTACTAATGTATGACTACATATTCCTGAACAAGTACTACTACTTACTAATGATGACAAAGAAGAAATCATTCCACTCAAACAGGTATGACATCTTATTAAAGTTCTCCATGTCATATTCAAGAACCGATCTGAAACACAGGAACAAGGAGAAAAGGCTTAGGTCAGGGACAATGTATCTAATTTGCCATTACAATTGAACTTCAGCCCAAATTATCGCTGGGACGAGTCCAAATTTACTACCCGGGTACCCGCTGTAGGTATCAAGAGATAGGTACACAATGTCCAAATAGGAATAGTTTGACCATAGCCCTGGGAAAATATATTAAGATACACATAGAAAACGATCTGGTCAAGCATACACTGAAGTTTACTGAAGTTTTATCTTTATTCCAACATATATAAGTCAGAAGGAATGGGTGTATAGTCAGAAAGAAATGCAAACATTTGTGACTTGTAGTGTAACCATGGAGTTCCAGACAATTGTTGTCATTAAACAATATATCATGTGACTAACCAGCTGGCCAAGGTAGTCCTATGGGTACCCACATCCTACTCAGTACCCACCTGACCCGAGTACCCGAGTTACCCGTCCCAGCCCTAGACCAAACCAACATATATTTCATATTTTCAAATACAAGCATGGTCCAATAGGAGTATAACTAAATAACACACATAAGGCATGTTGCAGTGTGTAGGTATTACTGTAGATTACTTGTAAAACATAATGCTGTCAATGTACAAGTATCTACTTTCTAAATATCTTATATATTATTCTACAAATCAACAGCTAATGACTGCACTTGTTACATATCTCACAACTAGAATCGGTGAAGTAGGAACTTGTTATTGTGAACTTGACTGGCTAACCAAGCAACCTTTTTGCATTGTAAGTTTCCATAAACAAATAAGAATTAGGCCACGCCCACTAACAAACTACTGTTTCCTGATTGGCTGAAAACAGAATGGGTGGGGCTTGTGTTGCATTATTGCACTGAATAATGTCACTGATTTCGAACTGTTGTCTACAGTTTTTGTGCGCTAATAATCTAAAAAGCTATCTGTGAAGCTATAATTGTTGACGTATTTACTTATAAGAATTGACTTCAATATGTCATTGTTTATGGAGTATAAAATAAATAACCTAAACAAACTCTTTGCTAAATCTGCTGTGCTTATACCTCCATCATCTCAAAACTATTGAAGTCAGCTAGAAGTATTTTCCCTGTGTTGTTGTTTATTATTGTATGGTCGTACCTGTAATAACTGTACAAGAGACTTTGACCACATTCAGTCTTACCTGCCGTAGAGACTTAAGAATGAAGCCAGGTATTCCTTCTTCTTGTCATGACCTTGTATTACAATATCCACCTGTAAACCATCCAATGAGGAAGAATTACACCCAAATTCAAACCCCTGATTAAACAATCAGGTTTGAGTATTTTCTAAAGTGGTGAGGTGTGGAGAATGTTCTGCACTGAAATAGCTCTGTGTCTGTGTGTGTGTGTCTGTGTGTGTGTGTCTGTGTGTGTGTGTGTGTGTGTGTGTGTGTGTGTGTGTGTGTGTGTGTGTGTGTGTGTGTTTGTGTGTGTGTCCTAAATCATGCAAAACTATTTCCATTACTTATTCTATGTTTACATTGGTTGTAGGGTTCCACGTGCTGTCATCGAAGCCCTGCGGTGAGCTAGCAATACGGTCACTTTGATGTGTAAATATGTATTATCATGCTACTCACTGACGCAGTTGTAGTAGCATATTTATATAATTATGCAAAACAATATGTAAATTTATTGGTCTTCCATATTTCTGATTTTTAGTCAGTGGATCCAATGCCTCATGAGGAGACTTTTGTATTGTTTATGTACATTAAGCTTAAGGATACCTGTACATTGCTCACCTTATTTTTCAATAGCTGACATACTTTATGCACATAGTCCCCTAAAGGCGTTCCTGCCACAAAATTGGGTATTCGAAGGCTGGATGATCCACCAAGGGCACTGCAATCATGTCAAAAGAGTAGGAATAATAGTGAGTGACTGAGTTGGGTTTAACACAGCTTTTAACAGTATTCCAGTTATATCATGGCTTGTCAGCTTAATGTGGGTGGAAAGCCCGAAGTGATGCGGGTCTGATGTTTATCACTTGGTGAAAGCCACCAGCATGGGTATGATGCTGACAAACCTAGAAATATAATCGGGGTGAACGGGGAATCGAACCCACAATCATAGGTTTCTGGCGTGTCCAAGGGACGCAACTCAGCACAGCGAATCGACTGATAGCAGAATGAGAGCCCCTCGTGCAGTGGGTTTATTCAATTACAATCTTATCTTAATCTTTCTTTCTCCTGTGATAAAGATTTCAGGAGTTTATTTCCTTTAGGTAACCATTATTTGTGATTAACGATGACTGTGTGTAGTAAGTACTTGTAGTTCAGTGTCTCTGGTGGGTCTTATATACCAGACAATAATGGACACTACTAAATTTTGCCATTCAGTTTCATTTGCATCTTATCAAATAGAGTACTCTTTTCCTAAAAAAAAGAAACTGACAGCACTGTCTACTGTTTGCCGTTCACCATACTCTCAAATGATGTTACACATTTCCTAATACAGTTAATATACTTATAGGACACCTACTGTTCTACTTTGGGTGACAAGAAAAGTTGGGGTGTGACTCTCGAACTCTCTGGAGATGGAAGACTTAACAACAACATTGCTGAATCTTCTCCCGGGTTGTCCTGAAAACACAAACATACCTATATATAAACAAATATATACAAATAAATATAAACATACTCAAATTCAATTGTCACTACAGAGGGGTGGGGGGCGGTCGGGTAGCCTAGTGGTTAAAGCGTTGGCTCATCACGCCGAAGATCCGGGTTCGATTCCCGACATGGGTACATTGGGTGAAGCCCATTTCTGGTGTCCCCCGCCGTGATATTGCTGGAATATTGCTAAAAGCGGTGTAAAATAGAACTCACTCACTCACTCACTGAGAGGGGTGGTCACTGACAAAAGCTATATGCCAAATGACAGAAACTCAAATATATGGACAAACATTTATGTAAAAAAAAAAAAAATATCAGTGTAAAATTCAAACAAATTATTATTACATATTATTTATCTGATAGCTACCTTAGTTAGATATGCTGGAATCTTTGAGAAATCTATGGACATTTTCACAAGGAACTTCACAGACCCCATCTTGCCATGCTAGAAAGGAAAAAAAATAAGAACAGGGAATTAATTTGGTAACTACAAATCCATAATACAAGAGCTCTTAAGCGTTCTAATTGCCTCTAAAGCAAATATGTGCAGCAATGGGAAAGCTGACACAATGGTATAGTTACCAAGACAAGGAAGGGTTTCACTCTATTTTGCAAACAATAATCACACATGGGATAATTCTCTTCCATCCAGCTATCCGACTGACAATGATTGAAATAGACTGTTCCTTCAAGTTATCCGACTGACACTGATATAGACAGACTGTTCCTTCAAGTTATCCGACTGACACTGATATAGACAGACTGTTCCTTCAAGTTATCCGACTGACACTGATATAGACAGACTGTTCCTTCAAGTTATCCGACTGACACTGATATAGACAGACTGTTCCTTCAAGTTATCCGACTGACACTGATATAGACAGACTGTTCCTTCAAGTTATCCGACTGACACTGATATAGACAGACTGTTCCTTCAAGTTATCCGACTGACACTGATATAGACAGACTGTTCCATTAAGTCATCCACCTGACACTGATATAGACAGACTGTTCCTTCAAGTTATCCGACTGACACTGATATAGACAGACTGTTCCTTCAAGTTATCCGACTGACACTGATAAAGACAGATTGTTCCATCAAGTTATCCGACTGACACTGATAAAGACAGACTGTTCCTTCAAGTAATCCGACTGACACTGATATAGACAGACTGTTCCTTCAAGTTATCCGACTGACACTGATAAAGACAGACTGTTCCTTCAAGTTATCCGACTGACACTGATATAGACAGACTGTTCCTTCAAGTTATCCGACTGACACTGATATAGACAGACTGTTCCTTCAAGTTATCCGACTGACACTGATAAAGACAGACTGTTCCTTCAAGTTATCCGACTGACACTGATATAGACAGACTGTTCCTTCAAGTTATCCGACTGACACTGATATAGACAGACTGTTCCATTAAGTCATCCGACTGACACTGATATAGACAGACTGTTCCTTCAAGTTATCCGACTGACACTGATATAGACAGACTGTTCCTTCAAGTTATCCGACTGACACTGATAAAGACAGATTGTTCCATCAAGTTATCCGACTGACACTGATAAAGACAGACTGTTCCTTCAAGTTATCCGACTGACACTGATATAGACAGACTGTTCCTTCAAGTTATCCGACTGACACTGATAAAGACAGACTGTTCCTTCAAGTTATCCGACTGACACTGATATAGACAGACTGTTCCTTCAAGTTATCCGACTGACACTGATATAGACAGACTGTTCCTTCAAGTTATCCGACTGACACTGATATAGACAGACTGTTCCTTCAAGTTATCAAACTGACACTGATAAAGACAGATTGTTCCTTCAAGTTATCCGACTGACACTGATAAAGACAGACTGTTCCTTCAAGTTATCCGACTGACACTGATAAAGACAGACTGTTCCTTCAAGTTATCCGACTGACACTGATAAAGACAGACTGTTCCTTCAAGTTATCCGACTGACACTGATATAGACAGACTGTTCCTTCAAGTTATCCGACTGACACTGATATAGACAGACTGTCCTTCAAGTTATCTGACTGACACTGATAAAGACAGATTGTTCCATCAAGGCATCCGACTGACACTGATAAAGACAGATTGTTCCATCAAGGCATCCGACTGACACTGATAAAGAAAGATTGTTCCATCAAGGCATCCGACTGACACTGATATAGACAGACTGTTCCTTCAAGTTATCAAACTGACACTGATAAAGACAGACTGTTCCTTCAAGTTATCCGACTGACACTGATATAGACAGACTGTTCCTTCAAGTTATCCGACTGACACTGATAAAGACAGATTGTTCCTTCAAGTTATCCGACTGACACTGATATAGACAGACTGTTCCTTCAAGTTATCCGACTGACACTGATAAAGACAGATTGTTCCTTCAAGTTATCCGACTGACACTGATAAAGACAGACTGTTCCTTCAAGTTATCCGACTGACACTGATATAGACAGACTGTTCCTTCAAGTTATCCGACTGACACTGATATAGACAGACTGTTCCTTCATGTTATCCGACTGACACTGATAAAGACAGACTGTTCCTTCAAGTTATCCGACTGACACTGATATAGACAGACTGTTCCTTCAAGTTATCAAACTGACACTGATATAGACAGACTGTTCCTTCAAGTTATCCGACTGACACTGATAAAGACAGATTGTTCCATCAAGTTATCAAACTGACACTGATATAGACAGACTGTTCCTTCAAGTTATCCGACTGACACTGATATAGACAGACTGTTCCTTCAAGTTATCCGACTGACACTGATATAGACAGACTGTTCCTTCAAGTTATCAAACTGACACTGATATAGACAGACTGTTCCTTCAAGTTATCCGACTGACACTGATATAGACAGACTGTTCCTTCAAGTTATCCGACTGACACTGATATAGACAGACTGTTCCTTCAAGTTATCCGACTGACACTGATAAAGACAGAGTGTTCCTTCAAGTTATCCGACTGACACTGATATAGACAGACTGTTCCTTCAAGTTATCCGACTGACACTGATAAAGACAGATTGTTCCATCAAGTTATCCGACTGACACTGATAAAGACAGACTGTTCCTTCAAGTTATCCGACTGACACTGATATAGACAGACTGTTCCTTCAAGTTATCCGACTTGTTCCTTCAAGTTATCCGACTGACACTGATATAGACAGACTGTTCCTTCAAGTTATCCGACTGACACTGATATAGACAGACTGTTCCTTCAAGTTATCAAACTGACACTGATATAGACAGACTGTTCCTTCAAGTTATCCGACTGACACTGATATAGACAGACTGTTCCTTCAAGTTATCCGACTGACACTGATAAAGACAGATTGTTCCATCAAGGCATCCGACTGACACTGATAAAGACAGATTGTTCCATCAAGGCATCCGACTGACACTGATAAAGACAGATTGTTCCATCAAGGCATCCGACTGACACTGATATAGACAGACTGTTCCTCAAGTTATCCGACTGACACTGATCGGGATAGGCTGTTCCATTAAGTCATCCGACTGACACTGATATAGACAGACTGTTCCTTCAAGTTATCCGACTGACACTGATAAAGACAGATTGTTCCATCAAGGCATCCGACTGACACTGATATAGACAGATTGTTCCATCAAGGCATCCGACTGACACTGATAAAGACAGATTGTTCCATCAAGGCATCCGACTGACACTGATATAGACAGACTGTTCCTTCAAGTTATCCGACTGACACTGATAAAGACAGATTGTTCCATCAAGGCATCCGACTGACACTGATAAAGACAGATTGTTCCATCAAGTTATCAAACTGACACTGATATAGACAGACTGTTCCTTCAAGTTATCCGACTGACACTGATATAGACAGACTGTTCCTTCAAGTTATCCGACTGACACTGATATAGACAGACTGTTCCTTCAAGTTATCAAACTGACACTGATATAGACAGACTGTTCCTTCAAGTTATCCGACTGACACTGATATAGACAGACTGTTCCTTCAAGTTATCCGACTGACACTGATATAGACAGACTGTTCCTTCAAGTTATCCGACTGACACTGATAAAGACAGAGTGTTCCTTCAAGTTATCCGACTGACACTGATATAGACAGACTGTTCCTTCAAGTTATCCGACTGACACTGATAAAGACAGATTGTTCCATCAAGTTATCCGACTGACACTGATAAAGACAGACTGTTCCTTCAAGTTATCCGACTGACACTGATATAGACAGACTGTTCCTTCAAGTTATCCGACTTGTTCCTTCAAGTTATCCGACTGACACTGATATAGACAGACTGTTCCTTCAAGTTATCCGACTGACACTGATATAGACAGACTGTTCCTTCAAGTTATCAAACTGACACTGATATAGACAGACTGTTCCTTCAAGTTATCCGACTGACACTGATATAGACAGACTGTTCCTTCAAGTTATCCGACTGACACTGATAAAGACAGATTGTTCCATCAAGGCATCCGACTGACACTGATAAAGACAGATTGTTCCATCAAGGCATCCGACTGACACTGATAAAGACAGATTGTTCCATCAAGGCATCCGACTGACACTGATATAGACAGACTGTTCCTCAAGTTATCCGACTGACACTGATAAAGACAGATTGTTCCATCAAGGCATCCGACTGACACTGATAAAGACAGATTGTTCCATCAAGGCATCCGACTGACACTGATCGGGATAGGCTGTTCCATTAAGTCATCCGACTGACACTGATATAGACAGACTGTTCCTTCAAGTTATCCGACTGACACTGATAAAGACAGATTGTTCCATCAAGGCATCCGACTGACACTGATATAGACAGATTGTTCCATCAAGGCATCCGACTGACACTGATAAAGACAGATTGTTCCATCAAGGCATCCGACTGACACTGATATAGACAGACTGTTCCTTCAAGTTATCCGACTGACACTGATAAAGACAGATTGTTCCATCAAGGCATCCGACTGACACTGATAAAGACAGATTGTTCCATCAAGGCATCCGACTGACACTGATCGGGATAGGCTGTTCCATTAAGTCATCCGACTGACACTGATATAGACAGACTGTTCCTTCAAGTTATCCGACTGACACTGATAAAGACAGATTGTTCCATCAAGGCATCCGACTGACACTGATCGGGATAGGCTGTTCCATTAAGTCATCCGACTGACACTGATCGGTATAGGCTGTTTCATCAAGTCATCCGACTGACACTGATATAGACAGACTGTTCCTTCAAGTTATCCGACTGACACTGATAAAGACAGATTGTTCCATCAAGGCATCCGACTGACACTGATAAAGACAGATTGTTCCATCAAGGCATCCGACTGACACTGATCGGGATAGGCTGTTCCATTAAGTCATCCGACTGACACTGATATAGACAGACTGTTCCTT